AGACCAAAGTCTTCTTGGAGATTCAAGGCAAACTCTTGGCTGTGAGCTTCCTATTGGTGGGACAGGTACACATTCCCATTCCAAAAGGGAAGAATTAGAAAAACAACAATGAAGAATTGTACCAAAGTAAGAATGAAATCCAGCAAGGCAAAAATTAAATCTTGTAGCTCTCTTTCTGGCATCTGGGACATGTGGTGGTAGGATTTGAGCTCCAAAGGGGTAGGGCAACTCTGTCTCTTTGGCCTTGCTAGCTGTAGCCCACATGACTGACTGTGCGCACTACCTGCAGCCTCCCTTGGCAGATATTCCATGTTCCTGGCATTTCTAACTTACTGGGGTCTCCACTGCAGTTTAGGCTTCACCTTCACAGCTTCATGTATCACCTTCTCAGGGGGCTGCCTAAAAGGACTCTGATCCTGTCACGTTTCCTGGCCTTCTATCTTTTCCTTTGAAATCTGGGTGGAAGCCTCCATGACTCCACAACTCTTCAGAGGCCTATATAACCAGCATCATATGGATAATGCCAAGGTCTACCAATGGCTCAAGTAGTCACTGGCCCATTTGGACCATAGCTTCTGTGGCCTTTGAGTACCTAGGCTAGGAAAACAATTCCCTAGGCTGCCCTGCATAAGTGGAGTGCCCAGATGCTCTTTTCTTAAAAGAAAGTCTTTCAAATTAGTTCATACTTTACTCCCTTGAGCCTGTGATGGGTTGGGTATGGATACTTGGAGATGCCCTCAAGGCATCTTTCCTATTGTCCTGGTGCAATGTACCTCACTTCTTTTTAGTAGTGCTACCAAACATTACTTCTCTCAACTCTGTATGTACTTCTTTTCTGGTCAAACTGCAACTTTCTCAAATCTTTCTGCTCTGTTGTGCTCATAATTCTCACAGTAAATTTGGCTAAAAGTAGCCAGCAATGTTCAAGTCACAGCCTCCATACAGACTAGTCCATAACTTTTAAATTCAACATCATTCAATGTCTTGGGACACCAACAAAATGTAGACAAGCTCTTTGCCGCATATAATACACAGCATCTAGTCCTCATTTCCATCGGAAACTATTTCTATCTCAAACCTCAGAAGCACAGTTCCCACCAGAATCATCCATAAAGCTCTGCTTATAGCTTTCTAAACTTTTTGTAGCCAACTTTTTAAAACATTTCCAAATTTCTCCCACAAAGGGGTTCCAAAAGCTTTTAAACCACATGGTTAGGTACAGTCATAGGTTTGGCCCCACTCCCAATACCAATTTTTCTGTGTTAGTTCTTCCATCACTGTGACAAAATACCTGAGAAAAGCAACTTGGCCTATGGTTTTAGAGGTCTCAGTCCATAGTTGCTTGACCCCATTGCTTTAGGCCTATGGCAAGATAAAGAATCATGGTGGGGAATGCAGGGCAGAGAAAAGCTTCCCACCTCATGGCAGCAAGGAAACAGAGGGAACAAGATTGGGAAGGGGCCCAGGTATAAGATATCCCTTTCAAGGTTACTGGTGATACAGAACGAGTAACCATGTTTCTCTCTGAAAGATACTTACAGTTCCATAAGGACCTTAATTTAAGATCTGAGACTTTGAAGCTAGTGCAGGAATACAGTGGAATTAATAGGCAATGACTTCTTAAATAGAACTCAAATGGTTCAGCAACTAAGAGAAAGGACTGGTAAATGGGACTACTTGAAATTAGAAAACTTCTGGACAACAAAAGAATGGTCACTAAATTGAAGAGGCTGCCCACAGAATGCGAGAAAATCTTTGCCAGCTATACATCTGACAAGAGATTAACAACCAGAATATGTAGGGAGATCAAAAAAGTAAACTCCCCCAAAATCAATGACCCAATGAAGAAATGGTCAAGTTAACAGAGTTTTTCAAAGGAAGAAGTCCAAATGGCCAAAGAACACATGAAGAAATGCTCAACATCCCTGGCCATAAAAAAAAAAAAAAAAAGCAAATCAAAACCATGTTAAGATTCTACCTCACTCCTGTTAGAATGGCTACCATCAAGAACACAAACAACAACAAATATTGGGGAAGCTCTGGGGAAAACGGAACCTTCAAATACTACTGGTGGGAATGTAAGCTAGTATAACCACTATGAAAAACAGTATGGAGGCTCCTTAAAAGCTAAAAATAGAACTGCCATAAGATTCAGCAGTTCCACTCCTAGGGATATACCTGAAGGAATATAAATTAGGTTACAATAAAGGCACTTGCACAACCATGTTCATATTAGCATTATTCATAACAGCTAACCTATGGAAGCAGTCAAGAGGCCCCACTACTGATGAATGGATTAAAAAAATGTGGCACTTATGTATAACAGAATTTTGTTCAGACACAAGGAATGAAATTTTGTCATTCACAGGTAAATGGATAGAACTGGAGAACATCATCTTAAGTGAAGTTAGCCAGGTTCAGAGGCCAAAAGTCACATTTTCTGTCATATGTGGAATAGAGATCTAATACAAATACAGCAATATTATGAAAAACAGGTCATGCTAAGGGGAGGTCACATACAAGAGAGGGGTTGTAAAAAAAGGAAGTTAAGAAGGTGAATATGGTTGATGTACTCCCTATACAAGAATGAATATAGGATTTTTAAATCTGTTGATATCACCATAAGAAGAGGACTAAGTTAGAAAAGGGAAAAACAGAGGAGATGAACCAATTTGGGTTATTTTATATATATATATATATATATATATATATATATGGAAAAATCACAAGGAAACCAATGTATACTTAAACAAAAATGTCACCTTTTTTTTTTTTAACAAAAACAGAGAACAGGAAGGCAGAAGAGGCCCTGTGGGAAAGGGTGTGGGAGGATGAATATAGTGCAAATACTATGTACACCTGCATGTAAAGAGAAAAATGATACCTGTTGAAACTATCCAGGAATGGGGGAGGGAGGAATAAAGGAGAATGATGGAGGGGTTGAATTCAAGTATGATGCATTTGATAAATTGTAAGAACTTTGTAAATGCCACAATGTACCCCGACCCAACACAACAATAATAATAGAAAAAGATACTTATAGTTCCAAAGGCAGGAATATTTCCTCATTCAGATTAATTGCCAACTGATAAAAATAGAAATTTAGTACTTTTAAGTACAAAGAATTAAACCTTGATTGGCAATATCTATGTCTGTGGTGCAGGGAGGTCTCTAAAGGATTTCAGAAGAGAAGAAAACTGAATTATCTGTTACAAAAAAATAGGATATTCTAGAAGCAGTAATAATTCCTATATCCTGACTCTATAATCAGATCAAATAAGTGCTGGAAGGGACCTGAACACTAGATAAATAACAAATTTTAAATCATAAGGAAAATCTTATTATTTTGGCCAAAGAAATAATTTCACTAATTATAATAAATGTTGCCTTACATATTCTCAATATGTAATATCAAAATTACAAGGTATTGGTCAAGGGAGCAAAATGTTTTCAGAGTATGCAGTTCCAACAAAATTTACAGTATTACTTTTCCATGCATAGCTAATCATATATGAAGCAACTGGGTCAGATATCTATTGTAAGGAATTCTGTAACAAATGCTTTTGAAAAGTAAATATTGTATAAATTTATACTTTCATAGCTTGAGAGATGCACAGTGACCATCCAACCAATAGAAGAAACATGATTGTCTCTAAGATGAACTGAGATGAAAGACCATCCTAAGTAGAGAATCAGGTAGTATGCCAATCATTTTCCTAGAGTGCTTTTTTTTTCCTTTAGAATTATTTTATTAAATCATAAATGTACAACAGCTTCTTAACTCTACACACGCACTTAAATTTTTTAAAGGAAAAACGTTATGTCTTATTACACCATGATCCTGGCTAATAGCTTTTCAAAACTTTTGAGAAAAATCTTAAAAAAGGTTTCACATGTCACCTGAAACTTACAAATTTAACATTATCAAAGAAGGAATGCTTCTATACCTAGAGTGCTTTTTTAAAAAAAGAATGTTAAAACTAACATTTATTAAACACTTTCCATTTGTCCAAGCATTATGCTGGGAGTGAAACACAATGTTAAAAGTACATATTTCTGTACCAATATTAAAGTTTAATTCTAAGTCTTCAACTTATGTAAATGAGGGATATCAGAAAAAAATATGTCTTGCTATAGCATTTAATTTAAATTTTCAGACACAAATTCATCATGTGACTACTTTTCAATGATTTATGGTTGAGTATATTCTTAGAAAAAGAATGTTCATTTAAAATTTGCCAGTTTGGTATAAGACAAAGCAAAAATTGCTACTAATTATAGTTCCTTATATTGTTCTTCTTTTCTAAATTCTTTCTCTCTGCTTGATGTTTACCTCTTGCGCAACTGTAGATCAACTTCATCTGTTTAAAAATTGTACCAAGTCAAACAAGTTTTAAGTACTATATTGCTTGCTAAATTGGGCCTGTCCTTTCATTAACTTCACTTTTAAAATTTGATTATCAGTATTTCAATCTTGAAAAAAGAAATCTTATATTCTTTAGATGACAAATAACATGCTGAATACCTCTCGCTTTAATATCCCTAAGAACGTTATACATGTTACCAAAAATACTTTACACAAAATCTAATATGCTCTGTGCTTTCCATGCTATTCTCTAATTTCCTCCTTATTTTGCATTAAAATATTTTTCATAAATACTTAATCCCATAATTAAAACCTTTTACATTTTACCTTCATCCTTTGTATTCTCTGAAATAATGTCCTAATGATGTAATATAACAAATACAACAGAAATTCCCTATTATAGAATAATGAAAGGGAGAAATAAAAGAAATATTGACTTATTAGCTCTCACAAATTCTGTAAATCTCTATGACAAATAAAAACACTCTTTTAAATAGTAAGAACATTAAAACTTTTATTTTGAATGTGATTCAGTCACATGCTCACAATAAAGAATTATGTATAATTTACTGCTTGATTGAAATTAACAAAAATTAATGGACTATATAGTAACTCAAACTTCCAAATCACTTTCTAAAGAAAAACTCCCCTTTATGTTATCATAATTTTTCCTATGGCGTTTCAAAGAAATAAGGCTACATTGTGTTACAAATGATTAAAAGCAGTGTCAGGATAGTAAGTTGGATATACATACTTAAAACAAATATTAGGGTTATTTTCTCTGGTAAGTTAGCTTGCAAATGAACAGAAACAGCCCAAATCCACATACTGTAATAGCTGTCCACTTCAAAATTCTACTCTTCCATGTAGATACTTCTTCTATTAATGGTATATGAGTTGGATCGTTTTCCCGTTCATTTTGCAGCTAATATTTAATATGGAAGAAAGAAAAGCATTAATGTTTAATACTCTGAAAATAAAAGTATCTGTGATTTCAATAAAAAAAAGATGTGTATTAATCCATTGGAGTTGGATGGAGGCAAGTCAAGGTTCACATGGAAGATCTAAAGTGAACACAAATGTCATGAAGCATGTCTTTTATCAGCATCCTGTTATCATCAATTATTAGTTTTACATTTAAAATAATGCTTTCATAGATTATCAAATTTTAAAATGGTACTTTTATGCCATGAGATAAAGTTCCTTTAATGTCAGTTTAAAGTTTTAGTTTTACCTATAAGGAATAACAACTGACATTTATTTCCAATATCAATGTCTTATAAAAGAGTAAAGTATTCTTATAGCGAGCCTACAATAGGTAAAATTTAGCAAAACTAGAAGATCAGATGTTAATGCTAGAAGTTTAATAGTTTATTTAAGTACAATTGCAGAAACAAATGTCACTGAAAATTCAAGTGGTTCTTTTAGTACTTCTCAGCAATAAAAGCACATGACCGACCTAGTTAGTTTCTAAATTGCCAGAGAGAAATTTTGTGCTAAAGGAGCCTCCACAATGTGTGTGTGCACTGGAGGCAGGCAACAAGAGAAGAGAGAGAAGAAAGAAGAGAGAGATGGCTGTTGGGGTGAGGCAGGAGAGGGAGACTAAGCAGAAACCAAAAGATCCTTAAAAGATAAAAAGAATCAGGCACATTTATAGAGTGAAATTTACTAGAAACATCCTGTACTACAGTGGTGATATAAATATTTTCAACATTAGCAGGAATAACGACTTCTAAATTCTGCAGTGTAAATATTTAATTTTTAAAGTCTGCAAAATTAATTTTAAATTTATAGCAGAAAAACGAATTTCAATGCCAATCTCATTAAGACTGTCTTCTTGGAAGTTAGCTTCCAAATGGCTTCATTCAGCAACAGATTCCTTTTTGACACTGATGCTCCATTTATTGAATCCTGAGACAGTCATTCCTTTTATTAACCAGTTACTTAGAATGACCCTTTCTCACAGGAGCTGTCAGTGTGTTGGTTCGAAAGAGAGTGATGTGGTGTTAAAGGCTAGCCTTGACCTCTCCCACCCTCTCACTCTGTTACATCCATACACTTATCTGTGATAACTCATACACTTCTTTTTTTTTTTTAAAATCCCCATCAGTTATTATTGGTAAACTCTGAAACATCACAAGCTTAACAAGCATGATAGCATATTCCCAAACCTGGAAGCCTTCATAGTTCCCTAAATAAAATCTCACTATGATGATTACTACTTGTCTAAGACTAATTTACTAAGCCAATTCATTTGCTTGCTCAAAATTAAGACTGTCCTGACCAAAGAACTATGTCTGCCATTACTGCAGACTAAAAAATGTGTTTTCAATGTTAGTCCTCATACAGAAACGTGTAAACTCTAGGTAGAAAACATCACAGTAAAGAAAAGATTCTCTTTGTAGACACACATTGTTAATTATAGTACCTCTGACTGTATTATGTTTTAGTCATTAAGTTTCTAAAACAATGCTTCTTAATTTCATTCACTTCAGAAAACCCTGGTTCTATAATTTAATCTCCATTCTCTACAACCCCTCCACCTCCTCCATGCTTTTAGTTCAAACTGGAGAAATCAAATTAGTCAACAACCTTGAGGCAAATATATTTTAGGCAATTTCCTACATTAAAAATTGATGCTTTGTAGGAAGCTTCTGTATACAAATCCTTCAAAATTTTACTTGGATCCCCATGAAAAAATATCATGCTAAGGAAAGTCAACACCACTGTCCTTCAATTCTTTTAGATGAAATGGAGGTAGTGAAGATGAATGGTGGTGTCAGTAAGTTCAGGTTCTATCTAGCTTACTTAGAATAGGCCTGACATATATAGCAGGCACTCTTTAATATTTGTTGAATGAACAGTTGTCACATACAATACAACTTCCAAGACACCTCTTTCACTGGAAAGGAATTTTTGAAATTTATTACTAATTTCTCCATTTAAAATAGATTTTCCATTATAATTTTATACACTTTGCTTTACAACTTGCTCCTCACTTTAAAAGACTCTTTTTGATTAAACATATGATAATAATAGCTAGAACGATAAATTACCTGGAACGTACAAAGTTTATTTTGGGGAAAGCAACTTTTGATAAAATTTTAGTGAAAATATGAAATGAATTATATGCTGCAACTTTAACAATTTAATGTATAAACTAATGTTCATATCAGATAAGTTATAAAACTTTACAGATATCAAATATATTTCTTCAATAGACATGGAATCAGAAATGAACTGTTTAGTTGACTCAAAGTGTTTTCTTTCATTCTCTATCCTCAACAAGTTTACTATTTCAGCAGCTCACATACTAGAACAGCCAATTTTCTTAAAGGGGAAAAAAAATCACCTGTCCTTAAATCCAGATATATACTTCTTGTATATGAATATAAAAACAGAACCAAAACCAAAAGATATAAAAACCATCATGTAAAAAATAAATTATTAAAAGATAATAAAACAAAGTCTGTTCAATAGAAAAATATTTGTTCCATAATGCTATCATTAGACAAACTAATAAATATTTATTGGCTTTTTGCGTCTATAGTTACATGTAAGTCTAATGAACAAATGTAACTTCCTATCTTTAATGAGCTCATATTTTATTTTTATTATTATTATTTTGGTGTTGAGGATTGAATACAAGGCTTCACACATACTAAGGACACACTCTCACAGTCTACCACTGAGCTTGCACCCTAACACCTGGCTGAACATTTTATTACAATAAACAAGCATACCACAACTTATTAAATTATCCTTCTAGTGCAGGAGACTTATTGCACAAGCAATTTTGGAATAAATTACTATTGAAAGATACAAATATTTTTGTCATCCTTGGCTCATTTTGCCAAACTGTTTTTGAAAGGAGTTGTGCTACCTGTCACATGAGAATATCGGTTTGGTGAACTCTTAGGAGAGACTATTACTAGAGTGATACATTTTCCTTGCTAATCAAAAACATGAAAAGGACATATTGTTCTTTTAGTATGCATTCCTTTTTTTAATTAATTAATTAATTTTGCAGCACTGGAATTTGGACTCAGGGCCTCACGCTTGCTAGGCAGGCACTCTTACCACTTAAGCCACTCCACTAGCCCTGTAGGCATTCTTTAATGACCAGTAACGTTTGTTTCTTATGTATCTTTCTTTCTTTGGAAATACTTAGACTGCTTGTCTAAGTATTCCACTTGTTGCTCTTATCAAAATTTTTTCATTGCCTATTATTTTTCAATAAACATCTCCTTTTGTTCCACCTCTAATTCTAAATACATACCTTCTGAATTAAGTCTTTTAGTTTGCAGACCTCTTCACTCAAATCTTCAACATTACTAACAAGCTCTTCACAAACTGAAGTAAAATTCCGGGGAGAAGCCCACTCTAGTACTATCTGTTAATAATTTAAAAAGTTATAAAGAATGGAAACAACTTTTTACAACTTAATATGTACAAAGTTATACAACTATACAACATATAACGTACTTGAATATTACATTATAAAACTGAAAAGGGTTTTTTTGATTTAGGATAAATCCTGACATTAAAAATAAGGAAGAAATTTTATATAAATTAGCTTGCTAAATGTATTTCCCAAATATAGGGACATGTAAATAATATCTGTGGTGAACAAATTAATTCATGGAGGTTTTAAAAATGACATGCTTCTCATATTAATATTATATAAGAATCATAGGGAAACATTTAAAAGTTTTCACTACAAACAGCTAAAACCAAATCACATGAAAAACTGAAAATTAAGTCTGCTTTTGCCAAGTCACTGTCAATTTTAAATTTATGTCATTACAAATTTTTATATCAATACAGGTTTTTAATAACAACATAATTTTGTTTCAATTTTCACTTGGGTCTTATCAGTTTATATTTTAAACAATGAAATCCCCTTTAAGAACAAATGACAAATTCAATTACATGGATCAATTAAATTTTGGTCTGCCCCATTCTCCTTTGCTTGAGGATGAGAACACCAATTGATTAGTATGTAATTGATTAGTATGTAAGGGAGTAATATTAAACAAATTTACTTATTTATATCTTATGCCAAACAAGTGGTATAATTTTACCAGATCAGTATTTAATGATTTATCATGAACTTATCTGCAATGTTCTTCAGCATGTATACTTTTCTTCACTAAATAACTTCTGTAGAATACCTTGTGAGAATTTACAGGCAACTCAGTAATGATATTCTGCACAGCTGTTATTAAATGGCCACACTGTTTGTTTAATTTCAGAAGAAAGTTGAGGAACTCATCACCACTAAAGATGGAGACAAACAGAAAGTGCTTAAGAGCAATTTACTTCATTTTACTGGGATAGTTACTAAAAATGTACTCACAAAATTAGATTTTTTTCAGAAATATTTACAGACTAGCTACTATGTGTTAGAAACTGAAATATGAACTGAGTATAAAAGAAAAACAAGATGCCAATCTTGATGATCTCAAATTTCAAGATGAAATGCACAGGGAGTGAATTCAAGTATGATATATTTGATATACTATAAGAACCTTTGTAAATGCCACAATGTACCCCAACCAGCACAACAATAAATACAAAAAAAGGGATTAAAAAAAGATGAAATGCAGACACAAAAGGACATGAATAAAGAGGACAAAGGAACCAGTATTTGAGTAACTATTATGTGAGGACACTGCAGCAGTTATTTTTATATTTATTATTTTTTTTTAATTCTCCCTAACAACCTCTGGTTTTGCTAACACTAGTTTATAGTTGAGATACTGAAAACTCAAGAGAGAATTAATTTATTATCACACAGTGATGGGAAATAAGAATTAGAAACACTTCACAGAAATGATACTTAAACTGAGCCTGGAGCTAAAGAATAAGTTTTCCAGGTGGGTAAGGAATGGAAGGACTCTGGACAGTTAGTAGGTGCAAAAGTACAGGGGCAGGAACCCTGAAGGTATAACTACAGTAGAAATTATGAAAAAGTAGCAAAAGAAGAGACTGCATACATTTATTAAAGGATTTTATCTTTTTCATCATGTAAAGTTACTAAAGGATTTCAAACAGGAAAGTAGAAAATCAGACTTTTGTATGAAAAATTTTATTTGAAGAGTGGTGTGGATTAAAAGAACACAAAAATAAAAGTATAAAGGACTGAAAAAACTAATGGAAAAATCCATTCAAGAAATGATGAAGGAGAGATCAACACAGGATATGACAGTTTCATTGGAGGGAGGAGACAAAAAGATAGTTTAAGAGTTTTAGGAAAACAAATGGAAAAATTTGGTGATAGATTGCATGTAAAACAAAAGGAAGGATCTAGAATGATTTTCATTTTTTTGGCTTTAATGGAAGGTTATGCCATGAAGCATGGAACTGAGTTTATTGATGGTGGGTGAGGAGTATAGAGAATGAAGAAAAATATTATAGCACAATAATTAAGAGCACAGACAAGTCAAGAGTAAACCCGACTTTGGATTTAGCATCCACAGTTACTAGCTTTATGATCTTGGGCAAGTCTAATCTTGAGCCAAATGTTTCCATATGTCTAGAATGGAGACAACAGACTATCAGAAGCATGAAAGGAGATAATAAATATAAGCACCTGGCATTCTGTCTAGCAAAGAGCTGGCATTCAAGCAAATTTAATTATGGTAATGGCTGCAATGTGAGACATGGAGGTAGCAACAGTTAGTAAGCAGTTGAAAATGTAGGTTTTGCAGGTATTTATACTGAGGTCTACACACTTGTGAGGCTAGATACAGTTCAGAGTCAGAGAACCTCAACAGGAAAACATTTTTATTTTCACTGACCTTAACCTGAAATTCAGTCTTTCCCTCGATCATGAATGTAAGCACAAACCACAGTAGTATTAGAATTGTCTATGATTTGGTGAACAACAGAAATCAAAACTATGATCATGAATAAGACCACAAAAAAGGGACATATTGCAAAAAGGGGAGGATTGATAGAGGTGGAACAAAACAGTCATTAAAGGAAAAGTAGCTTGTGAAGCAGAAGAAAATCAGTAGCTATAGGTTGTTATGAATGACAATGAAGGAGATGATTTCAAGGAAGAAAAGGTCAAGCACCTTAAAAAGATAAGTCCACTAATTTTGGCAAACAGGCAACGCTAGAGACTAGATTAATTTTGATGATAAAAGCCAATTTAAGTGGAAACTACAAGAAATTTTTATATAACCCTATAGGAAAATTAGCCAAGGATATGAACAGGTAATCCAGACAAGTAGAAAAATAAAATTTGGTGGAAAATAAGTATTGGGATACAATTACCATTATATTCTAGCGAAATGACAAGTTAAACAGATCACTGTTATGAAGAGTTGCAAATATAATAAGGGGGGGTGAACTTGCTCAAGGTACACTGCATACATGTATGGAATTATTACAATAAATTTCCTCATATTATTAATGTATGCTTATTCAAAAATTAAAAAATTAAAAAAACATATCCAATAACTCTTTCACACACAAAAGAGTTGAAAACAGCATGAACTGACCTTTCTGGAGTGCCCTTTAATAGTATAACTAACATAAAATGTATACATAAAATCTATAACTATGGGACAAAAAGAAGATTCTAAATTCAAACAAAATTTCTTAGATGGTGTATTATTTGATCACACACAATACAAAGTTTCTTTCACATTGTTATCTAGGAGGAAAGTTTTGTGAAAAGCAAACAAGGGCAGCCTCCAAATTTTTCTCTAACATATCTTGTTAGGTTTTATATAGTCTTTTGATTTAAGACAAATCTTTTTAACTATTAGGTTGAAAAAAAATTAAACTTCAGAGACATAACTAACTATATAAAGTCAGTGAAAGGACTTTATTGGTTGATGTCAAAAGCAAATTGAAAATAAAAAATTATATAGACATTCTATTTAGTAAGAAAAACAGTATTTGTAAAAGCATTCTCAAAATATAGTTCTTTTTTATTCCATTTCCTTTCTGATCTCTACTCCAAAAAGAACAGAACTTACAGAATACATGACATATTTCTGACAAAACACCAGCCAGTATTAATTTTTGTTTCATGTAATATTTATATAAAGTATACTTACTATTTAGCTTTTAGTACTCTTTAAATACTTGAGTTTTGTTTATTATCAATAAAAATAGTACTTTCAAGTAATTAATTAATTCTGTATTTATTTAATTCAATGAGCTCACGGAAATTAATATCTATTGAGGATTGCCAAAAAGATAGCAGGTAAGCAATTCTATATAGGTTATATACAAACGTGTGTGAAATATAAGCTTACCCTCTTATTCCGAAGACAGTAAGGAACTCAACTCAAATAAGCAAAAAATATTAACAGCAAAATTAAAGCCTTAATAAATGAAAAGAAAATATAAACCTTTCTTACAACATAATATTCAGGGCCACTGAATATGGACAGGCAAACTATATAACACATAACTCTGCAGAGTACCATTCATATACACTTTGTGAATGCTGTGTACAATAAGTGCTGTATAGTATGCAACCTACATAACTTTACATGGTAGCCCTATTACTTTTCACCTATATAAATAATTCAAAATAAGCAAATATGATATAGGTGTGGTAGACTGAGTTATTTGATAAAATTACTGAGTGTTCTTTAGTAAGCTAACTAGTACCAGGATCCTCCCTTCATATCCAAATTACATGAGGCCTGGCCATGTGACTTTCTTCACTGGAGGTTACTGTATAACTTTTCAACACAAGTTTATAGGGCCACACAGTAGTCCCATTGGTTGGCTGCTTCATTTCTCTTTTCTCTTTGCCATAGGGACAGCATGTCCCAGACTGGAGATGTTCTTTCAGGCTGCTCTCAAAATGATAAGGAGAGCCACTGTAGCTGACTCATGATATAGACGATCAAGAAATAAATTTCACTGTATGAAAGTGATGGAGATTTAGAAGTTATTTGTTACTACAATCTAACATCATGTAAGAATATTAAAACAGGTCATATTTTAATTTTTTTTTTTTTTTGCCATACTGGGGTTTGAATTCAGGGCCTACACCTTGAGTCATTCCACCAGCCCTTTTCTGTGAAGGGTTTTTTTCAAGGTAGGGTCTCAGGAACTATTTGCCAAGCCTGGTTTTGAACAGTGATTCTCCTGGTCTCTGCCTCTTGAGTAGCTAGGATTACAGGGGTGAGCCACAAGTGTCCAGGTTTTTTTTCCCCCAGCACTAGGATTTGAACTCAGGGCCTCACATTGCTAGCTCATATTTTAATATTTTGAAAGCAAGGATTAAGATACAATTTTAAATCTGTAATAAAGGTATTACAAATAAAGTTACTGTGTGTTCACTGTAGAATATCTGAAAAACATCCACATTCATACCCAAATAGTAACTGATACTGTTTTCTATACTGTATTTTCTGACAGTACACATTTTCTTCTAATATTTTTCCTATGGGTGTATACAACTGACATTATGCTTCACATGCCAATTTATTATTATGAATATTTTTACATGACATTAAATTTCAAAACAATTTTAGTGATGGGAAAATAATTATGTTGAAGCAATCTAATTTAGCCACTTCTGATGTTAATTACAATTTCTAATTTTAGAAGTTTATAAATAACAGATAGAAATGTTTATATAAATTTTGTATCTATATATTTTTTTCTTTTCTGAAAAGGAGCAGTTTCTTGACAGTCTTAATTTTAAGAAGCTTTTGACACATTCAAGTAGATATCAGGTAGCACAGAGTTCAGAGAAAAGAGTTGGGTAAAAACTGTTGAAAATTTCAAGACATGGATGCAAATGATTACTGCTGTTCAGAATATCTCAAAGTAGTAATGGAGTTATTAACCTTTTAAAATTGCATTCTTTAATTCTGCAAATGTATCAATGCAGAAAAAAGTAAATACATTGTTCATGTGCATTCTTGTAACAGATTATTTTAGAAAATTTGACACATGGAAGAAATATATCTTAAAATAAATCAGTAGCTAAATTGTTGAAGTTACATTACCAGGAGATTATAATCAATCAATTCAGCTTTTCTTACTGTTAGTTTTCTTATGACTTAATGACTAATTTCTTCTTTAAAGGATGACTGTGAACAAATGGGAAGTAAAACCTTTTCTATAACACCATGTAAACAAAGTCTGTGATTTAATAACAAGGTCAAATTCTTAGGATATATGGCTGCCAGTTTTATTTTTCAAAAAATTCAGCAGCTTTAATAAGTGAGCGATTCAGGATTCTGTACATTCTTTTAAGTCTTCTAAATACAACAAAGTAAATTCATAAGGCAACCCTGCCATTATACAAATAAGTAATATCAGAATATTTAATTTGTAAGTCAATCATGTAGAATTTAGAATATTCTTTCATAGGAACAATAGTGGAAAATAACATGAATAAAGGTATTCAAAAAGGCCTGCTATTTTAAGTCCTTACAACTCAAATTCTATACAATGCATTTCAATATTTAAGTTATAATATATTGAAATGATAAGGCATTATTTTAAATCTTCCTGTTATAAAGACATACAACTAAAGAAGAAGGAATGGGAAAAAGGGAATATATACTCTATAATGAAGTTTTTGAGAAATTAGGATTATCTAACTTATCCCCTAGAAACTTCTCTAAATTCTAAAATAGAATGGAAATCTATGTGTGTCACAGTTATGGTGCTAACTTCAGACAGTCTATACTAGTAATGATACTATTGCATTTATAAGTATTATATTTTATGGAATATAAAATCTCATAGGCTACTTAGCAGGTGGTGTTAGTAAGTAGGAAGAATTCAAAATTGCCTTGTAGGTAGAGGAAAATAAATATTATGTGTTATTTAGGATTCTAAAATCTAGGTGTTTTTACTGTGAGAGATATCTACATACAAAATTATTTAAAAAAATTACTAAACAGACAATCATATAATCTAAAAGGCAGAAGACCTACAGGTTTTCTAATTTGTATTCAAATTATTTCTTTAAGCAAAAATCTCCTACTATAAGTATTACATACAATGAAACAACTACCTTATTTATTCTGGGTATATTTCTATTAACACGAAGAGTGCTAGTGACAATGTTAACCTAAACTGATGGACAAAAAGCCTCAGCAATTCTTAGATGTATTGTTGTATTTCACCCACCATCGTAATATAGTTAATTCTGGACTCTTCATTTATCCTTATGAAACACATTCTTACTAAGTTTGGGGGAATTTGCTTCAATGTGCCAAAACCTTAGTTTTTTATTTTTCAGTTATTTTAGACACCAATCACAAACAGCTATTGAGCCATTGAAATCATACAGTACTTTCTCTGACTGTAATAGACTCAAACTAGAAATCAGTAACAGGAAAATCTCCAAACACATGGAAATCAAATGATATACTTTTAAATAATACATGAATCAAAGAGAAAGTCTCCAAGAATATAGAAGTGAATGAAAATGACCACGGAATGTATCAAAGTTTGTGAAAATACAATTAAAGCAGTGCTGAGAGGGAAATGTAAAAGGCTAAAACTAAATAAGAAAAAAGAACAGTGGCCAGGTGTGATGGTACATGTCTGTAATTCCATCTTCCCTGGAAGATGGAGATAGGACTATGGTTTGCAGCTGGCAAAAGCCCAAGACCCTACTGGAAGAAATAAAAAGCAAAAGGACATGGCTCAAGTGAAAGAGCATCTGCCTAACAAGCATGAAGCCCTGAGGAATCAATCCCAGTACTGAAAGGGGATGAGGGGTGAGGGAGGGAGGGGGAGAGATAGAGAGAAAGAGAGAATAATGATGTATACCTATGATCTCACTTGGGAGGCTGAGGCAGGAGGATTGAGAGCTGGAGGCCAGCCTGGGTAAATAGCAAGACTCAACCTAAAATAAAAATAAAAATAAATAAATAAAATAAAAATGTGAAAGAAAATGTCTCAAAAAATAGCCTAGACTTCTAACTTGAGAATCTAAAAAAAGAGCATATTAAATTCAAAGCAAGCAGAAAGAAGGAAACAATAAGGACAATAGCAGAAATCAATGCAATTAAAAATAAAAGAGAAATGTAACAAACAAAAAATTAATGAACCTCTAGCAAGACTACCAGAGATAAAAGAGAGAAGAGAGAAATCACAGATACTAGGAATGAAATGGGATATTACAGCAGACCCCACAGCCATTAGAAGGATAATAGGCAATCCTAATAACAACTTTACATTCTGAATTTAATCATTCAGAAGAAATGAGTGAAGTCATTGAAAACCGCACATTACTAAAACTCAGCTCAAATGAAACAGATACAATTTTAATAATCCTGTAACCATAAGAAGTTAAATTTATGATTTTAAAAGTCCTAAATAAGAACTCTCCAAGCCCAGATGGTTTGTTTCACTGGAGAAGTCTAATTAAAAATGTTTACAGAAGAATTATCTCTAATTCTATACTATCTTTTCCAGAAAATAGAAGAGGAGGGAGCATTATTTCTCAACTCATTTTGCAAAGATGGTATTACCATGATATCAAAACTAGAGAAAGCACAAAATGGAAACTTGTAGAGCAACATCCATCATAAACTTAGATGCAAAAATCCTCAGCAAAATACCAGCAAATTAAATCCAACAATGCATAAAAGAATAATGAACTGTAACCACAGGGGCTTAGTCCAATATGCAAGGTTGGTTCAACGATCAAAAATGCAACAAAATAATCTACATTATATCCAGGCTACAGAAAAATCTTATATAATCATATGAACTGACATAGAGAAAAAAAATATTTGATAAGATTCAACAACCATTTTGTGATAAAAAAAATTCAGAAAAATAGGAAGAGTTGAATTTTCTCAGTCTCATAAAGAAAATCTACAAACTCTATAGATAACACTTTAGTTAACAGTAAAAAACAGAATGATTTTCCTTGAAGACTAGGAACAGGGCAAGAATGTACATGATCCACAATGCTTATTCAATATAGTACTGGAAGTTCTACCCACCATAATAAGGCAAGAAACAAATAAAGGCATATGGATTAGAAAGGAAGAAATTAACTTGTCTTTGCAGACTAGGTGAATATTTATTAAGAAAATCTCAAAGAACCTAGAAAAGACAGAATATTTGAGTTTAGTAAAGTTGAAGGATACACGAACAAAGCACAAAACTCAGCTGCACATTGTACACTGAAATAAAAAACCCACTACCACTGACTGTGCCAAAGATAATGAAATATTTAGGTATAAATCTAACAAAATATGTACATGAACTCAAGTTTGTACTTATCTGTTCATGGATTAACAGATTCAACATAGTTAAGATGTCAATTCTGCATAAATAAATCAACAGAATTAACACAGTTGCTATTGAACTCTCAGACAGCGTTTTTGGAGACGTAGAAAACTTAATCTAAAATGTGGATGAACCAGGAGTGATGGCTTATGACTTATGTCTGTAATCCCAGGTACTCAGGAGGTGGAGATCAGCAGGATCACAGCTCAAAGCCAGCCTTGACAAGAGATTATTGAGATCCCTTTTCAACCAATAAGATGGATGTGGTGCCAGGTTCCTGTAATCCAGTTATGCAGGAAGTGTAGGTAGGAGAATCATGGTCCCAGTTTGGTCTGGGTAAAAAGCAAAATCCTATCTAAAAAAATTGCTTTTAAAAAAAAGGTCTGGAGTTGTGCTTAAGTGGCAGAGTGCTTGCCTTGCAAGTGCAAGGTCCTGAGTTCAAACCCAAGTACAAACAAAATAAAAAATATAATGTATGTGAAAAGAAAAATGTTCTAGAATAGCTAAGATAATTCAGAAAAAGAATAAAATGAGCAGTCATTCTTTCTGATGCTAAGGTTTACTGTACAATTATATTCATCATAACATTTATGAAATAACATCATTATAAAGCTGGAGAACAATTATTGGTGGCTACAGATTAGGGATGGGGGAAAGTATTAGTGCTAGCTATAAAGGAGTAGGATGAGAGAGCTTTGTGGTGGTTTGTGAAATATATAGATTGTAATGATGGTTACATGAAATTACATGTGATAAAATTGCATAGTTTTATACACACAAGTTAATGTATAACTGGTGAAATAAGAAAAGGCTCTGTGAATTGTACCAGTGTCAATTTTCTGGTTTCGATATTCTACTGTACTTACGCAAGATATTAACACTGGTGAAACTGGGTTAAGGGTGCATGGGACCTCCCTGTTTATCTCCTTGAACTATTATGCGAACCAACCATTATTTCTATCATGTGAGTGTACAATTATTTCAAAATAAAAAGATTAAGAAACCATTTATTATATCTAGAATATACTAATAAAACCAAATATTATTTCCACACTGGTTTTAGATTAATAGTCAGTATTTGAAAAATAGAAATGAAGTTCATATATTGATGATATATAATTTTTCACACAGTAAGGCTAAAAATAAGAGTGGAATTCATATGAGAAATGTTTTCTTTTTAGTTTGAAAAATATTACTTCTTTGAATTTTCAATTTGACATCTAAAATGATTTAAAAAGAAATGCTACACTAGGAAAAGCATCGAATCTCTTGTATGACTAATTTAGCAAGACGATGAAAAAAATTAAAGCACAAATATTTCTAATGTGAGTTAACAAGAAGATGCACTGTTTTGCTTCTTGGTAAAATAACTTTATGAAAATTGGCTTTATAAAGTACATCAATTTCTGAACATAGTATGTTTTAAAATCATGGTATCAAATCAAACAATTCAGACATCAAAATTAAACTAAAAATTTAGTTCTTAATTATATTAATATATACTCATAATTTTACCTGATTTCCAACTTTGCCACTTCAGGTAACTCTCCAAAATTTATCTCTTCTACCTCCAGTTCTTTAAGGGCAGCTAGGATTTTCTGCTGATCTTTACTAGTAATTCCATTCTAAGTAAAATAATTTTAAGGTGTAGTAAGACAGTTACACTTAATTTAATACTCAAAACCATTACAATTTTTTATTTGAATTTGTATCTTGGAAAAAGACACACATTGGAAAGTAACAAATATACTGAAATAGATGGTTTGCTTATAATTGTGATTGATAAGCTAATTACATCATTAGAACACTTAGGCATATAGTTTTATGGCCAATTTTTTGCAATACATAAGAAAAGTTTTGATGAACTCTTAAATCACATTACTAGATTATAATGTATAGTAGCTCAAAAAATCCAGCAAATGAGTTTTTCCTTCAAAATATTATTTAAATTTTATCAGTGATAAGTGAGAATTAAACCTGTTCTTAGGATCTATATTCTACCTTTAGTATTAAACTAAAGGTAGAATTTTCTGTCTTAGATTTAGTTAAGTAGGATGCTTATTTTGATTTTTAGTGATACAAAAGATTTCAAATTTCCAATGTTTTTCATGAAGCAAGATCATTGGTTTTATAATATTCCATTTATAAAGTATAATACTTTCCACAGCTATTTTTGAATTGTTAAATGTATGAGATGGCAAAATAATAGATCTAATGGTTTTCAGAACCAACCAAAAGGCATATTGGGTTCCACATATATTTAAAAAAAACTACCTCTTATTTCTAAGTAGCCTGTCTTACAAATCTATTTCACATTTGGATATTAAGCAGTTTTAGTTGAGATATGATAATCTGAAGGAAGATTTTAGATATGGTTATCCATGATCATATTTAATCAAGACCCTAGCAAAAGATCAATCACACTCTGTAGCTCTAGGATTTGAAAAACAGAAAATAAAAAGATCCACAATTTTAAAAACATCAAAGAATATATCTGGAGTTTTTGAAACTGATACTAACCTTTGTAAACTCATCTTTTTTCATGGTTAAAAGGTGTCTTAAAGTTATATCCCTTTCCTGTACCAAAAGAAAAAAAACCCACTATCTTTCAATATAAACAGCACCAGTGGAAGTAGGCAAGCATACTTAAGTTAGTCACATACTCCATTCCTAAACAATTTTCAGCTTTCTAGAAGGAGGAGACTACATAGATACAGAACTACACTACTGGGTGGTCAGTATATATTCATCTAAAACAAAGAAAATGATAACCATTCATCATATTTCCTTATATAAAGAGAAAAGCAGTTCTATAAAATATCACAGAAATTATATTTTATGAATATTTTAAATTTCTAAATATCATATTAACCCATCAATAACACAAATTTTTATTCAAGATTTCTCTAGGAAATAAGTTTCAATATTACACAATGAAATCTAAATCTGAAATATTTGAACCACTGTGCATACTCCTACAGTGAATCTGTCTTAAACAGTGCTTTACTGCTTCAGTATCCTCATCTGGCTGATAGTAATTATCATGCAGTAAAACCTGACAATGTATGTATGCCTAAAACACGTAGATAGTGCTTGAGGTATGATCTAATTTAACATTCATGGAACTTTACACTAGCTGTTATTGTCCTTATGAAAAAACATTTTAAGTAACATATTCCAGTTAGAAATCAGAGCAAGAACCTGACAGCAGGTTTGTATGGTTTAAAAATCATGCTTCTAGGATTCTGTACAAGATCAGCAACTGCAAAAATAAAAGGACATAAGTATATACAGAAGCAGTAGGAAGTGGGTGAAACCCGGCCAGATTCTAATTTATGTAAATTTCTAGATTAATATATTTTTGAAATGCTTATTTCAAGTTAACGATGGGATGTACTAAAATTATAGAGAAAAGGAATGGCACTCATTCATATGCATGCTTATGAATTAATATTTAATGTTGTGTTAATCAACTAATAAGCACACATATATAAGTCCCCGTGGGTTGTATGAAATCTTACCTTTAATAAGTCAGTCATATGTTCAAGTCCAAGACCATGTAAAAATATTTCCAGCTCTCCAAATGCTGTATATGAACTATACATATTTATAGCAAGATCAGTTTCAGAAGAGAGTATAAATGTACAAATTATATATATTTATTATATTTCACAAAAAGAATGAGAATATGAATGAGAAAGAATTAATCCATGTAGGATATAATTGTAAATTTACAGACTAGTCTTAACCCTGTATCAAAGGAATAAGCAAGGTTTCTTTCACCCATTCTTTCCTTTTTTTGCCATGCTGTGGATAGAACCCAGGGCTTCATACATGCTTTGCAAATGCTCTACTAATGAGCTACACAAAAGCCCAAAGTAAGGTTTCTTGAGCAAAGACAAAAGAGAGAAAACGATGATGGTAAAATGTAGTTTTACCATGAGAATGAAAGAATGAAAATATTCATAAATATGTATTCCTTGTGAAATCTCTGCACATAACATCTCTTTAATTGCAATTAAGTAAAAATTATTAACAACTTTAAATGTGCTAAGAAAAGAATAGTTTATAGCTATGTTTTGAATAACAGTGTCCAGAGAAAAATATTTTTTTCTTAAAATTTAGCTTATAGTTAGAAATGTGTGGCTCAAACTCTGAGTTCAAACCCTAGTACTGCCATAATAAAAGAACCCCAGAAAAGTGCTAAAACTTATTAGAAAGAACAGTATAGTACAGTTTGACAGCTAACAGAAATCTTTTAAAAATAAAATGTGCTATCTTTACTGAAATTTTACGCTTAAAGTCAAAGGTATTATGATTAGTGTCAGTATAACTAAATAAACAAATAAATAAATAAATTCTTTTTTTAAACTTCTGGAGAACAGAGCAGTACCTAAAATCAGCACCAAAATTGTATTTCTAAGTAGCATTTAAAAATACTTGCAGAAGTTTAAAATATTACATCTTACATAAGTCACCAAATGTCCATGTAATAAAAACATACATTTTTATAGGAATTCTACTGAACTAAATATGTCACCTAAATATATGATCCTTTTCTTTATCAGAATCAGCTGCCAATAGTTTACAAATAGTCTCTTCTTTAGTTAGCTGTTGTTTTCCTTCCAATATGTTTAAAGTTAAAGAAAGAAAGTTGGAAATCTGAAAAAAGTTAAAAAGTCATTCAAATATAGTTAATATTATTGTATACTATCACTTAGAAGAAACTGAACATATGATTACCTTCTATCTGGAAGGAAAATTTTAGCAAAATGAAAGGGACAGAGCTTTCACAACTTACTACATTGAGAAAAACTTTTATATGATTAAGAAAATGATTCCTTGAACTAAAATAATCAGAAAAGGTAAAAAATACTTTAATCCAACATATTAAAAATTAAAGATAGTAATTATTTCCCATAACTAAAATACCATTTAGCAAACGATTCAGAAAGATTACATAACTAAGGTAGTACTCTGCTAAGCAGGAAGTAGTACACATGACTAAATGTATATAAATCCCACTGTACACCTCAACATGTGATAAAATTCCTCAGCTTTACAATCAACTCAAGGCTATGTCACATAATCTGCTAAAATAGAAAATCAAATCTGATTTTAAGTAATGAGTTATGACTCAAAATATCCTTTCATGTTCACAAATTTCTTACTATATCAAATCAGGTGTCACATACCCAAAATTTAATAATGCAGAAGGTAGTTTTAAAGTTTTTGAATTTTCAAAGCTTAGAACAAAAACTGTAGACTTCTTTTTGAAGTTTTATAGGACTTTCGTGATTAGCATCTCCTCTAAAATAATTTAGGAAAAAGTAGGTTTTATTTGGAAAATGATAGGCATATTAATCAGACTGCTCAAAAATGAAGAGGATGTTAACTAGTTTCAAATATTTAAATAGTTTATTACAATGTTATCTCTGAGGACATAGTAAGACTATATCCTTTTTATATAATTTAAATTATTATGCTATCAATGCCTCTGATTTAGAAGGATGAATATTCTAGGAAAGTAAGATTTCATTACCTGGTTCGAGAAGAAAACATTTAAACATTCAGTAATAGCTCAAAATACTATTATTACACTTGTGAATTTTATAAAAGTAATATAAATGTCCTACATATGATAATATGACAATACCAGAGAAAATATAGCTTAGTATATTGATCATACCTCAAGATGTTTATTTCTTTTTGCAATTTCACTTGGTGTCCTTCCATCTTTGGTCTGTAACATTTTATTAGCTCCAAGTTCTAGCAACTTCAAAATTACATGTTTATGACCCTGACGCGCTGCCCACGTTAAAGCCTGTAAGTGAGGGGAAAATTAAATTGTTTAAAGAGAAGGACTGTATATATAAGACAGATTAGAAACACTTTCAACAGTATTTACAGCACAATAAAAAGGAGACTGTTAATTAATGGAATTATGCAACCTCTTCATTTCACAATATAATATAAACATATTTTCAAAGTTGTAATTGCAGACTGCAAGGCTCACTGATTTTCTACAACCAATGTTTTACACAGTTAAGTGAAGTTAGGAAACAAAATAAAATGTTTTCTACAAAAAAGAATCTTCTATTGTCAGGACTGAGGACTAAAAGAGTCAATTTGTTTTTCTGTCAGTTGTTACTTTTTTTTTTTTAACCAGTGGTTACGTCCCACCCTTCCTGAAATTATTACTTCTTCAATCTTTTTTTAAAATAAAAACCAAACAGGGCTGGTGGAGTTGCTCAAGTGGTAGAGCACCTGCCTAGCACATGTGAGGTCTTGAGTTTAAACCCTAGTGCTGCTAAAACAAACAAACAAAAAACCTAAAACTAAATAAAAAATCAGCTATTTTTAAAGATTACTGATAATAAAAAAAATCAATGTTTTAGAAATAAAAAAAAGCATTATAAAAATGTTGCTCACGGTATAACCATTTTCATCCTGGGCATTAACTTCTGCTCCATGAGCAACAAGGAGAGCAACAACCTGAGGGTGACCATCCCGGGCAGCATACATGATGGGAGTCATACGTCTCCTGAGGAGGAAGGGAAGAAACACTTGTGTTAAGGCTGCCATTAATTACTACAATTTCATAAATTTAAGCATATACAGTACCATTATTATTGTTTTGAAAGCAAAAAGAAATACAAGCTTTTTAATAAATCCAATCTTCCAACAATGTACACACAGCACCCTCTAGTGAAGAAACATACAAAAGTCACTAAGTTATGCTTTCCAATATAAGTTTCATTAAGTTACATATTTATCTAGAAAATGATCAAAGTATTTGCACTATGTTTATTCTGGGAAAACAGTGATGAACAACACAAATAAGGTCCCTGCCTCACTGGATTTTCTTACACTAAATGCTTATTACAGTGTAGTTTAAAAACATTGCTGAAATAAAAACGTAAACTTAAAACCTTTCTTATTTCTTAATGCATTCTATTATGATTCTGTTTTAAAGTTGAAAGAATTTTATTGTGAGTTGGAAGCTTACTCTAATCAAGAAAGATCACCCCAATAACTTAACCTGTCTAATATTTTCTGAGTGTATTTTCTGGCAGAGAATAATAGTTTCTCTCTAGTTCATTATTTCCCCAAGATAGTCAGCTTCTCACCTTTTCCAAAGAACACTACAAGAGTCTATGAGTTCTGCTTGAGCTAAACTTAACACATGATCTAGTATTTTTGAACTTTTAATCGAGAGAAACATGTGTATAGGGAAGTGTACATACTTAACTGCTTTTTTCTTTTGTAGCTATTAATGGGTTTCATTGTGACATTTTCACACCCATACAAAATATAAAATATAATTTGATTATATTTGTCTCTCACATCCTATACCCTTTCTTGTCCCCCTTTCCTCCTCCTAATGGTCCTTTTTCTCTGTTTTTTTAAAAATCTAGATTCCACATATAAAAGAAAATATGGTATTTGTCTTTCTGGCTCTGGCTTATTTTGCTTAACATCTCTAGTTTCATCAGTTTTTCTGCAAATGACCTTGTTCTCCTTATGGCTTAGTAATACTCCACTATGTTTATGTACCACATTTTCTTTATTCACTCATCTGGATGAGCCCCTTGGCTGATTCCATAGCTTGGCTACTATGAACAGTGCTGCAATAAATATGGGTAAGCAGGTTTCTCTACTTTAGGCTGACTTAATTTCTTCAGGTGTGTGCCCAGGACTGGTATTGCTGCATCAATGATAGTTCTAATTTTAGTTTTTGAGGCACATCCACACTGATGTCCATAGTGGTTTCATTAATTTACATTCCTGTCATCAGTAAATAAAGGTTCTTTCACCATACACCCTCACCGGCATTTGTTGTTGTTTATTGATTGCCATTCTGACTAGGGTGAAATGGAATCTCAATGTAGTTTTGATTTGCATTTCTCCAGATAGTTTATTTTAAAAGAGATCTGACATTTTGGGCCCAATCGATTTAGACATAAGGAACTTCAGAAGAGAACAAATTAATCTGAAAATTCTTCATTTTGATCTCACTAAGAAGTTTATTTTTGTTACTGACATTACTTACACTAAACAATATTTTTCTGTAAGGGGTTTATTAACATAAGGTATTTATCCTTGAATCTGATCACATCACACCAATGTCTTTAGCACAAAACAATTCACATATTTATCTGTTTCTCCTATTTCCTAGTACATTGCAATTTGATTGTTTTATTTGAAAGTACGTGCTAAGGTGGTTGTAACCATTACCTCTTCTACCTTGAATATCTCATATATGTGAGTTTACTATAATAAACAATCTTTTCAGAGTTAAGTTTGAATTTCCTGGATAACTATGGCAAGATAATGCACACAACAGAAAAAATGAGTCAACTAATCATTCGAATTCTTCATTACATCTAAATTAGACCTCTCTCTTCTTCATTCCAGTTCTCTCCACAAAAGCCCAAATCTGCGCCTCTCTCTTTACTATTTCACAAAGCTACCATTAAACATATTACTAAGGCCTAAGATTGGGCATGACTCTTCCCTATCACTTCATATAGAAGTCAAAGCAGGTCCTGCTGACCTTACCTTCAAAATATATTCTGTTCCTGAGCAATTCTCATCATCTTGTTAGCCACTGCAGAAGTCCAAGCCATATCATCTTTCTCTGACTATATTATTGCAATAGTTTCATAATGGCTGTCTATGACTTTATTCTTGGCCACTTACAATTTCATCTTTGAAAATGCCAACTTGTTCTCTTTTCAGGTAATAATGCTGCACTGGCATTGGATTTCTGAGAAAGGGTGAATGCCAGGAGTGGTGGCTCATGTCTATAATCTTAGCTACTTGGGAGGCGGAGATTGGGAGAACACCAGGCAAAAAATTTGCAAGACCCATTTCCACCAATAAATGCTAGGTGTGGTGTTACATGCCTTTTATCCTAGCTATGTGTGAAGCATAAATAGGAGGACTGCATTCCAGGCTGGCCCAGGCATAAATGTGAGACTGTTTGAAATACAACTCAGGGCTGGCAGAGTGGTTCACACATGCCTCACAAGTGTGAGACCCTGAGTTCAAACTCCAGTGCTGAAAAAAAAAAAAAAGAAAAATAACTGAAAGTAAGGGATAGTAAGGGATGGGGGTGTGGCTCAAGTAGAGTACCTGCCTAGCAAGCATGAGGTTCTGAGTTCAAACCCTAGTACCAAAGAGTTCAAGTGGTAGAGCTCCTGCCTATCAAACACAAAAACCTGAACTCAAACCCTAGTACTGCTAAAAAAGTAAGTGTGGATTTATAGAATGGATCAATAAAGTCCTAGGGTCTAGCTTAACTAAAACATGTTGACTGACTTAATACTATTCAAGTGATCCCATCAATAATACTGCATAAAACATTTTCAAAGTTAAGAGAATAATTTTTCCAGTAGCTTCACATCTAAAGAAACTTGTAACATCTGAAATTTCCTCCTTGCTATAGGCTAATGTAGTAATCTTATTAACTCTTCAGGGAAGTTATAAAATCTTATATTAGCTCACCTACTAAAGTGACATGGTAACTATCTGTGCTACTGATACTCCCTCAAAAGTAATTTTTTCCATCTTCTTTCTTATTTCTTTTCTAAGATGTAATGTAAAGTCTTCTCCACTTCTTATCTTCTCTTTAAACTATTGTAATTTGGTTCTGTTTATTCCTTCCAACATACAATTACTTTAGCAGAGGTCATTGCTTAATATGATCTCTTTCTAGCACTTAAAAGTATGCTCTGTCCTCAATGCTTTCCCCATTTTTATATAAAATCATGCTTTAATGACCTCTCATCTATTCTTACAACTTTACTGTCAACACACTAACAGCTCCTAAATCTGAAAGCCCAGGCTTTGCACCTGAGCTCCAGATCTTATCATTCCTGTCACTGCCACCTAGGTATCCCAACAGAACTCAAAATCTACCTTCATCTACATCTAAACCTTCCCTCCAACACACAGCATTCTGCTATTATCTGTCTCTAGGTCAGAATTCATGTATCACCCAACCCAGAAAATTAGAACTAATCTTTTTCCATGTTGTGCCTTTGTATCTAAGTCAGCATTCCTGTCAATCTTCTTCTTCCTCCTCCCCATTTATATTTGTTGACCTTACTTTTATCTTTCCTTGTTAGATGTGATCAGGTCCTTGTTACTTCCCATATGGATTACTACAATAGCATCATTAACTGGCCTCCTTTATCTCTGGTCTTTCCTTCACATCTGTAAATCTCATTATGTTGATTCACTGCTTAAAAATTTCAAGATTACAACTGTAAGAATCACTACTATAGCACCTACAATCCTATCTTCAGGTCATGAATTCCAAGTTTTCATTCTTTAGGATGTCTCATATTCAGAGCATACTGTGTGGCTGAAATGCCTTTTCACTTTTCTTCTCAAAAGGCTTGTTCCTAATCTACCTCTGAGGACTCATGTCAGAAGCCAACAAACACACCTTCAAACTCTCCAATGTACCATCCAATCTTAGAAATCCTTTTATGGTCTATGGTCTCACAGCTCACCTATCATATCAAAATATATTTGTTAAAACTGCATTTTTGATCAATTTTTTTCTTGAATTTTTATAGATTCAGCAGCCATGTGGTCTAGTGTGTACAGATTTATGCTTGCTATGTTTTTCAACTTTGCCTTTTATCATAACACAAATGTTCCTTATTGAAACTCTTTCAGGAATGGGGGTGTGGGGATAAAGGAGAATGATGGGGGGGTAAATTCAACTATGATATATTTTAACAATTTTTATAAATGTCACAATGTATACTCAGTACAATTTAAAAAAACCCAAATGTTCCTTTATTTTACTTACTGTATTCAATATTAGTAATGTTTGATATTGGCAATCCATTCTTTTGGTTTACATTCACTTGTAAAAGATCTTTCACAGTTTTTCTCTTCAACCATTTTTGTAAATAGGATTTGGCTATCTTTCTGTTTGTAAAGCTAGTGTCTTCATTGGCCTGTCTGTCTGTTGATAAGTTCACTGCATTCACATTCAGCATGACTAGTATATGTGACAGTATTTTTTTCTTTTCTGTATTTGCTGGTTTGCTACTATTACATTTTCCCTTTGAAAATATGGTGACTCTTTTTTACAAAAAAGTTCCATTAAACATTATCTTAATCTGTTCTCTTAGTAAACCATACAATATATTCTATGTAGGAAAGGTAAAATCTATTTCTACTAAGGAGATCCATGGCTTCCTTTGCCACCATGCTCTATTTCTCCCCTACCTCTACTCTAAATGGGGTAATTTTTTTTTTTTTTTGAGACACGGTCTATAAGCATAGCCCAGGCTGGCTTTTAACTCATTATGTAGCCCAGGTGGGCCTCAAATTTGCAAGCTTTTTGACTCTGCCTCCTGAGTGCTGGGATTATGGGCATGTCCTACACATCTGGCTTAGGTACAATCTTTTGAATACTCTTACTTCCTTCACTTATTCTCCTTCCCAATTCTCTGCAAATAATAGTTCTTAGGTTTTATTGGTACAGTTTAATATTTAATTTTTACTTACAGTAT